AAGATAGGTCACATTCAACAAAAATAGGACTTGGTAGATATGTGATGAATTGACTTATACTCAAGGGTCAGTTATATATATATTGTGGTCGTGCCACCAAGCCAATAGCAATCTTATGAACAGATGAGAACTTTTCCCAATTCTGCATCATCAGGCATCACCATGCTTGAGGCCAGTGTTACTGTATCAACCCCTTTCTTTGATCCTTTCTCTGACCTTTCCCAGCAAAATGTCTTTTCCCAAGAAATGGTCCCTCCTGACATGTCCTTTGAGAGGGATGTCATGCTTAGAAGGGTGGAGGGACAGCGCAAGAGGAAGATGCTTGATGAGATGGACTGATTCTGTGACTGGGGTATTGGGGGGTAGGTATGTAAGAGACAATAAGATTGGCACAGGATAGAACAGGTTTCAGGGCTATTATATGTAGTCACTATGAATTGCAAGAGACTTGATGGCACATAACAACCTTCTGCAGTAAGTGATTCAAGTTGTTTTCATTTTCTCCGAGGTTGTGTCATGTGTATAACTCAGGTTGTTGATGATACCACATCCTTCTTCATATAATCAAGCTTCTCAAATTATTTGCTCAGCAACTAGATTGAATAGGTATGGAGAAAGGATACAACACTGATGTACTTTTCCTGATTTTAAATCATGAAATGTTCCCTCCTTCTGTTCGGGCAACTTCTTTTTCTATGCGTCTGGTTTCACATAAACACAATTACGTATTCTTTGATTCCTATTCACAATGTTGGCCATAATTTATTATGAAACACAAATGCCTTTGATAGTCAATAAAACACAGATAAATGTCTTCCTGGTATTCTCTTTTAGCCAATATCTTTCTGGCAACAGCAATGATATCACTCATTCCAAGGCCTGTTCTGAGTCCAGTTTGAATTTCTGTCAGTTCCTTGTCATGTACCGTTCCAGTCATCTTTTAAAATTTTTAGCAAGATTTAGTGTGCATGTGACAGTAATGATATTGTTCACTTTCCACCTTCTGCTTTTTCTTCTTCTCCTCCTCCTCTTCTTCTTTTTTTTTTTTTTTTACACTGAGAACTGTGTGGATCACAACAAATTGTGGCTGAACTTTGAGTGGAATGGGAATCCCAGAACATTTGACTGTGCTTATGTGAAACTTATACTTTGACCAGGAGGCAGTCATCAGAACAGAGCAAGGAAACACTGCATGATTCAAAATCAGGAAAGGTGTGCATCAAGGATGTGTCCTATCTCCATATCTTTTCAATCTTTATGCAGAACAGATTATACAGGAGGCCGGACTCTATGAGAAGTGTGGCACCAGGATTGGAGGTAGACTTATCAACAATCTGCATTATGCAGATGACACAAACCTACTTGCTGAAACTGAGGACTTGAAGCACTTGCTGTAGAAGGTCAAGGATTGCAACCATCAATATGGATTGAAGCTCAACGTCAAGAAAACAATGATTCTCACCACTGGGCCAATTGGCAGCATCATGATAGATGATGAAGAGATTGAGATTGTTGACAGCTTCAGTTTGCTTGGCTCTACAATCAACACTTGGTACCAGCAGTCAGGAAATTAAAAGATGAATTGCATTGGAAAAGTCTGCTGTCAGAGACCTCTCCAAGGTACTGAGGAGCAACGATGTCAGTCTGGAGACGAAGGTGCACCTGATTCAGGCCATGGTCTTTGCCATTACTTGCTATGCTTCGGAGAGTTGGACAGTGACTAGGGATGATAGGAGGGTTGATGCCTTTGAGCTTTGGTTCTGGAGAAGAGTATTGAATATATCATGGACTGCTAGGAGAACAAACAAGTTTGTCATGGAAAGGGTGAAGCCAGGTTGCTCCTTGGAGGCAAGGATTCTGAACCTTTGTCTGACATACTTGGGACATGTCGCAAGGAGGGACCAGTCCTTGGAGAGGGCCGTCATGCTTGGAAGGGTGGAAGGATGGCTCCGGAGAGGAAGACCCTTGATGAGATGGATTCTGTCCCTGGGATAATGAGGATAGGTGTGTTGGAGACAGTGAGATTGGCAAGGGATAGAGCAGGGTTTAGGGCTGTTGTACATAGGTTCGCTATGAACGGCACATAACAACAACAGTGAAAACAAATATGGGTTTCTTTAAGTCAGTTGGCCAGTTAGCTGTTTTCCAAATTTCTTGGCAAGGCTAATGAGTGCAGGGCTGCATCTGTTTGTTCAAACAGGTCAACTGGTATTCCATCAATTCCTAGGGCCTTATTTTTCACCAGTGCCTTTAGAACAGCTTGAATTTCTCTTTTTATCACCATTGGCTCTTGTTCATAGGTTACATTCATGAAATGGTTCATCACTGACCAATTCTTTTTGGTTCAGTGACTGTATTCCATCTTATTTTGATGCTTCCTGAATAATTCAGTATTTTACCCCTAGGCTCCTTCAGTATTGCAACCTGGGATTTAAACTTGTTCTTCCAGCTTAAAAAGTGTCAGGTGTGTTTTTCCCTTTTGATGTCTAAACTCCAAGTCTTGACACATTTCATTATAGTGCTTTGTTTTCTCCAGCTGTCCTTTGCAATCATGTGTTCATCCCTTTTAATTCTGCATTTCCTTTATTTTGGCCTTTATCCATTTTAGTGCTGTAATATATGGAAAGATGCAGAAAGGACAATACTTAGGATATGTACAAGGTTTCTTTTTGTTGGATTTTAGACCTAATAAGGGGCTGATGGTTCCTTAGAAACCTTATAGAGAAACATGGTTCAAATGTATGAGTTAGTGTAGTCAACATTTATATATGCATCTTGAAAGAAAGTAGAAAATGCAAGAAAGATGTTTACTTGTGTTTTATTGACTATGAAAAGGCATTCAACTGTGAGGGTCCTAAGTATGCATAACATTGATAAGGATGAGAACTTAAGAACACTTATTTGTATTCATTGAAAACATATACATAGACCAAGAAGCAGTTCTCCAAACAGAACTGTGGACATTACAAGGCTTAAAATCAGGCAATGTGTGTCAGGAATTTATCCTTTTCCCTTAACTTTTCAATACAGACATTGGGCAAACTGAAGAAAAATGTAGCATTAGGATTGGAAGAAGACTCATCAACAATCTAAGTTATGCTGATGGTTACAACCTTGCTTGCAGAAAGTGAAGAGACACTTACTAAAGAACATCAGGCTACCAATATGGGTTACAGCTAAACATAAAAAAACCAAAACAAAACACCAAAACAAAACCACAAATATCCTTATCACTGGACCAGCAGGCAATGTCAAGATGTTTTTGTTGTGAGGTGCCGTTGAGTCGTAGATGACTCATAGCGACCCTATGAATGAAGGGCCTGAACACTGTACATAGTGTTTCCGGAGGCAAGCCATTTTGGAAGTGGATGCCCCTCCTGCTTCCAGAATAGCAAGATAGATGGAGAAAAAAATTGAAGTTGTTAATGATTTTATCTTACTTGGATCCACAATCAACAGTCATAGCAGGCAGCAGTCAAGATATCAAAAGATGTGTTGCATAGTACATATCCATTGTCAGGGACCTCTTAAAGTGCTAAACAGCAAGGATGTCAGTTTAAAGACTAAGAAACACTTGATCTAAGCTACACATTTTCTATTGCTTTCTATCACTTTCTATGTGAAGGTGAGAAGTCCAAAGAAAAATTGATGCCTTTTAATTATGATGTTAGTGAAGAGTCGCTAATATACCAGTCAAAAGAACAAAAGTTTTGGAGGAAGTGCAATCAGGGGTACACCTTTTGAGGCACGGGGGTGGGGGTTGGGGGTGGACAATCTTCCCCTCACACACTTTGGACATATTTCCAGGAGGCACTAGTTTTTGGGAAAAGACTTCTACTTGAAAAAATAGAGTCAGCAGAAGAGGAAAATACTCTTGAGAAGAGTTGATACAGTGACTACAGCAATGGGCTTGAGTGTGGAGATTATGAAGCCAAACAGGGCAAGGTTTCAATCTGGTTTTGAAATGATTACTATGAGCCAACTTGAGTAGACAGCACCCGGCAACAAGAAAGACATTTTTGTCTTTTCTTTTTCTTAAATGTTATTAATATAGTGCACACACTTAGAAGTAATGCCTCAAAACTCATTTGTTGTCCAGTGGGACTGACTGACAGTTGATCATACAGCAAGTTTCTGGGGATTGTAAATAGCTCAGGAGATAGACCATTTTTCTTCTTCAGATTGGATGGTGAATTCAAATTGCCAGAGAGGTACCACCTTTGGGTTAGCAGTACAATTCTCTACAGACTACGCTAACAGAACTCTCTTAGAAATAAAACAGTACTAAAAGATATACAATGCAAAGTCAAATCTTCAGACTCAAACTCAAGGCAATCATAGGATAGGACTTTCTTCAATACATATTTTCTTTTTTTCAATACATATTTTCTTGTTATGTGTGGGGAACCCTTAGCTGAACTTCCAGCAGGTTTTTAGAATGTGTAAATCACATTGGATAATTGGTGGATTTGAACTGAGAGCCTTTGGGTGGGAAGTGTAACTCCTTACCACTAGACCATCAAAGCTCCCTTTCAGGAATACACAAAAGCATGTATTACATGTGGTTAATGTAATTAGTGTCACCAATCAAAAGATGTTAAATTGGCAAATCTAATGTTATCCATATTTCTGCAATAAGAAAGTGCTTATGTTAAGCATATGAAGGTGTGAATCTGTGTATATAATATTTCTTCTTACTCTCTCTCACCATTTCTTAAATAAATGGGAATACAACGTATTATTCACTTTTGGTATTTTTTTACTGAAACCGGTTTCATTTCATGAACATGGAAAGATTTATCATTTATTTAATCAGGTACTTCTAGTATTTTGTTTTTACATGTGGCATTGAACATCTTTCGTCTTTATTCTTTGTGCTTATATGTGAATTTCTGCAGGTAAATATTTCTGGGAATACATACACATGGTGGAAACTACCCCAAAGTATATTTTTCCCATCAGTGTTACCAAATTGATCCTGGAAGCAGAAAACTACCAAGTTACAAAGGATGCATACTTTTATTATATAAAGCTGTAACAGATTTTAGCAACTTTAAAAGTGCTGTTGGATTATATGGAAAAAGATTCTTCTTCTGCAAACGGTAAATTGCACCTTGTAGTCTTTCCAAGCATTTAACTGTTCTATAAGCTCTCCATACTTCAGAGACAGTGCTCTTTTGACTTACCTCATGATCATCACAAAAGGAATAATTACTTTCTTCTGGAACCAAAGATCCTGAATGAAGCTCTAGGGTTAGCTCTTTTTCACCCTTACTTATTGCAGATGTGTCCTGAATCTTCTTAACTGCTTCTTGGTGTAATGATGTCTGCTTCCTGTTTGCTAAGCACTGGAATGTGGATTCTTCCTCTGAATCATCAGAGCTGTCATAATCTACCAAACTTTGAGAAGTTTGAGGGGAAGACCAACTCGCAGTTTGAAGCCTGAAATGGGACTTGTTGGGTATCATGGCCTGGTAGCAGTCACTCTGACTCTCCAGTGGGTCAGAAGAATCACCAGAAGCCCAGGATGGCCAAGCAGAAGCATCTATCTGATCACCTAGAATAGTCCAAAAATGTGGTTCTGTTTGATCGATGCTTCTGTCTGGGTCAGTCAAGGGGGTACAAATGGTTACTCCATCTTTTGACTCAGGTGCATCAAAATACTTGCAAATGGTAAAAAAATTATACCAGTCTTTTTGGAGTAATTTTAAGTACTTAACAAAATATTCAAGGAAACAAGTTTCTGATGAAATTAAAAAATCAAGAAGAACTGTAGAATCAAATCCTATACTTTTTAAGAAGAACAAGAAAATGCAGTGAGGATTATAACCATTTTCATGGGTGTGATGATTCCACATTTGTTTTTCCTGGGTTGAATTATCAGTAGTAAGACAACATTCCCTGAAAAATCAAAGGTAACAGAGAACCCAGATTAATAATTATTATTAAATAATAGTTTTGACATATATAATTCACATGACATATTTATATATTAAAAAATAAAAACATTCATTTTCCTATCACTTATTACATTTAAAAAAAATCAAAACTAATTAATTCATTTTCCTCCTATGTTGTCCTTTCTCCTGATAGCAGAATTCACATTCTTGTTGTTTTCAGCTACATTGGCCCCTGATTCCTCGCTACTCTATGCATAACAGAACAAAATGCTGACTGTTCCTGCTCTATTCCCATGACTCATAGGGTTGTCATTGGCTGATTTCTGGAAAGTCACCAGGCCTTTCTTCCTAGTCTTAATCTTGAGCTCTCTTGCAAGCTGTTCAGCATTCTCACACCACACAGTCCTCTGTTGACAGACAGGTGGTAGCTGTGCATTAGGTAAACTGGCCAGGAATGAAACTTAGATCTCATGCATGAAAGGTCAGAATTCTACCACTGCATGACCAATAACTTACTTTTCAATCTTATAGGTAACTAATTTCATGTGTCACTCTGGGGTTCAAGGCTGACCTTCTCGTTTCCTGCTATACTACCCTCAACAGAAGAAGGTACATGATTAATCAGAGTACTATCTACTCCTGGCTCTATGACAGGCTCAAATAAGAATCTGTGACCCAACCTAGGGTAACTGAATCTTCTCTAAGGCTTGTGCAGCAATTACTAAAGATTATGAATTTGAACTCCTGTTCATGTAATTCTGTCTGGTGTCAACTTGTTCTTGTGGAATTCTTAGTTATTAAGAACTCAATTACAAATTTTATCACCAAGTCCAAATTTTTCAAATACTGTTCCTTCTTTGCTGTTTCCTACTTTTGCATTCCAGTCACTAATTATCATTAATGCATTCTGACTGCATGTTTGGTCAATTTTAGACTGCAAAATTTGGTCAAAAATTCTCAATTTCTTCCTTTTTGGTTCTAGATGTAGAAGCATATATTTGAATAATAGTGTTAACAAGTTTTCCTTGTGTGAGTATGGATATTATCCTATCACTCATAACATTGTATTTAATTGTACTTCAAAATTGACTTTTTGACTCCGAATGCAACACCATTCTTCCTGTTTTTCATTTCCTGCAGAGTATGCTGTTGTTGCCATGTGCCATCAAGCTGGTGCGACCCAGAGTGACCCTATGTACAAGAGCCATAAACTCTGCCTATTCTGTGCCAATCTTATTGTCTCTGACATACCTAACCCCCAGTCCCCGAGTCAATCCATCTCATCAAGGGTCTTCCTCTGTTGTGCTGTCCCTACACCCTTCCAAGCATGATGTCCCTTCTCCAAGGACCGGTCCCTCCTCGCAATATGTTGAAAGTAGGCAAGACGAAACTTCAAAATTGTTGCCTCCAAGGAGCAGCCTAATTCCACCCTCTCTAGGACAAACCTTTCTGGACCTTGGAATTACCACATTGTGTCAGCAATGTAAACAGACACAATTAAGTCAAAGAACTTAGCAGAAGCTCTGTTGCCAGGATCTTCCCTCAGTACAGCCTCAAGCAAAAATCATTCTCTGAAGTTGGTACATGGGATTTAGACTTAGATCCTCCTAAACAAGAGATGGACAACAGTGTGAGAAACCAGTAGCAATGTGTAGTGCAAGGCATCACAGAAGTGACTGGTGATCCTACTGAGAGGTGTCTGGGAAGGGAGGGTTTGACCAGGTAGCTGTGTGTGCAAGGAATGGAGAGATAGCAGGGAAAGCGTACAGATGAGTCATGTGTGCTTGTGGTGGGTGAGCAGTGAATGTATTGGCTATTTCTATAAGGGAAGTGTCAAATACTTGTCTGTCAGATATTCTTCTAACAGTGAACATCCAAATTAAGACAGACTAGGAATAATGATTGGCCATCCACTTCTGAAATATAACTGGCCTTTGAAAACCCTCTGTACAGCAAAGCATACTTAGAGTAGACTAACAAGTATGGCAACTGAAGTTGGGCCCTCAAATCTGGAAACACAACGGAGGAGAAACAGTTGTAAGAAGAAATCAACAACTGGTATGTGGAATGTGAGAAGCATGAATGCAGGAAAACTGGACATTTTAAAGAAAGAAATGGAACATGTAAATATTGACATATTGGGTATCAGTGAAATGAGATGGATTAGCAATGGGACATTTTGAATTCCAAGATCATATGATCTATTATATTGGAGATGAAAAGGTGAGAAAAAATGAGGTCACTTTCATGGTTAAAAAAGGCCATTTCTAGATCCATCTTGAAATACAGTATTGTGAGTGCAAGGGTAATATCCTCATGTATACAAGGAAGACCTGTTAATATCACTATCATTCAAATTTATGCACCTACAACCAGAGCCAAAGAGGAGGAAAGAGATGATTTCTATCAACTGTTGCAGTCAGAAATCAATCAAACATGTAACTAAGATGCATTAATAATAATAATAAGTGACTAGAATACAAAAGTTGGGAAACAGGAAGAAGGATCAGTACTCATAAAATATGGACTTGGTGACAGAAATGAGGCTGGGGATAGGTTTACAGAATTCTGTACAATCAGTGATTTATTCATAGCAAATACCTTTTATTAAAAAAAATACCTTTTATAAGAAACATAAACACAGGCTATCCACATGGATTTCACCTGAAGGGATGCACAGGAATCAATTAGAGAAGTTCAGTATCAGCAGTAAAAACTAGGCCCAGTGAAGATTGTGGAACAGACGATCAACTGCTCATTTGCAAGTTCAAATTAAAACTAAAGAAGGGTAAATCATATCCACAGAAATAAAAATTTGACCTTGAGTTTATCTCTCATGAATTTAAAAACCAACTCAGGAATAGGTTTGAGGCTTTGAAGACTAGATAAGCTGTGGGAATATATCGAGATTATGGTTCATGAAGAATGCAAAATGTCAATCTAAGAAGGAAGAAGAAATGACCAAAATGGAGGAGACTCTGAATATAGCACTAGAGTGCTGAGAAGCCAAAGCAAAGGGAAGAAATCAAGAAATTCAGGAGCTGAATAGAAGATTTCAACAGGCTGCTTGGGAAGACAAGGCAAAATATTATAATGAAATATGGAAAGAGCTGGAGATAGAAAATCAAAAGGGCCAAAATCACTTATCATTTCTTAAGGGGAAAGAACCAAAGAATAAAATCAAGCCACAAGTTGCAATGCTTAAGGGTACTATGGGCAGAATACTGAGTGATTAAAAAAGCATTACTAGCAGATAAAAGGAATATACAGAGTCACTGTACCAAAAAGAACTGGCTCACACAGAAGAATTTAAAGAAACAACATATGAGCAAGAGGCAATGGCAATAAAGAAAGAAGTGCAGGCTGCTCTTAAAGATTTGGAAAAAAATAAAACTCTAGTAATTGATGGCATACCAAGAGACATATTTCAACAAACAGATGCTATCCTGGATATGCTCACCAAGTTGTGCCAAGAAATCTGGAGGACAACTACTTGGCCAACTGCCTGGAAGAAATCCATATTTATTCGCATTCCATAAAAAGGTGACTCGACAGAGTGTGGAAATTATCAAACAATATCACTAATACCACACACTCGCAAAATCTTCTTGAAGATTATCCAGACAAGACTTGAACAGTACATTGACAGAACAGTACAGAGAACTACCAGAAATACAGGCTGGGTTTAGAAGAGGTCATGGCACCAGGGACATTATTGCCAATGTCAGATGGATCTTGGCAGAAAGCAGAGAGTACCAGAAGAATATTTATCTTTGTTTCATTGTGTGGATCACAATAAATCGTGGCTAACCTTGAGGAAAAAGGTAGTATCAGAACACTTGATTGTGTTTATATGAAACCTATACTTGAACCAAGAAGCAGCCCTCAGAACAGAGCAAGGAAATACTGCATGGTTCAAAATCAGGAAAGGAGTGTGTCAGGGATGATTCTGTCCCTGTACCTTTTCAATTTGTATGCAGAACAGATAATGTGTGAAGCAGGGCTTTATGAGGAGGAATGTGGCATCAAGATTGGAGGAAGACTCATTAACAACCTTCAATATGCAGATGACACAAGCTTGCTTGCTGAAATTGAAGAAGACCTAAAGCACTGCAAAAGTCAAGGATTGTAGTCTTCAATAAGGATTGAAGCTCAACATCAAGAAGACAAAGATTCTCACCAGTGAGTCAACTGGCAGCACCATATTGGAGAAAAAATTGAGGTTGTTAGCAATTATAACTTGCTCAAATCTACAACCAACACTTAAAAAAAAATATACTATTTTTTGTGTGTACCGTCAAATCGATCTGACTAGTACAGGAAGAGACTGCCCCTCCTTCTCCAGCAGAGCATCTGGTGGATTGAACTGCATACCTATGCAAAACAACCAACACTCTTTTTTTTTTTTCTAAATTTAGGTTGTTTATTTTTCATTTCAATGAACATCTACAGAGATTTTGGGATTCCATTCATTCATTGTTGCACCCTTCTCCC